GGCTTGGAATTATTTTTCCATGTTCTGTATTCCAAGATGGTTTTTCTATCCTCTTCCCCCGGTTTTTTTTCCCTTTTTTTTTTTCGGGATCTTAATGCAAATGGTCAAGCCGTGGCCATTAGGCGTGTTAGCGCTCTGTACCTGCCTCAGTCATTGTGTGTCGTCTGATTATGTTTGTTATATTAAATAAGGTGACATTCGCATGACAATTTATTCGACTGGGCAATTATATAATAGTAAAATTATTATCCTGCCACTGACTTGTTAATATTATTATGCTGCAGTTCAGGATTGGTAATTCCAGGTGAGGAGAGAAAAATAAAAATAATAAGCGCTCTCGCTCTCCAGTAGGCACTCAAGCAACACCGATATGAATAAAGAATTAATCGTCTTACATTTGTAACGGAGCGCATCCTTCCGCTCCGTTCCTCCTCCGGATTTCCCCCGACCGACCATCCGTCGGGGACCGCCGAACACCAGGCGAGTGCGGCAGTGGCCGCAAAGAGGCAGCAATGCCTCCTTTTTTAATTTCTGATACACGCGAACTCCGAAAGCGTCGGAGAATACCGCGAAAACACGTATGTTTTCGTGGTATTTCCCCGCACCGCGCCAAGCGTCGCGTCAACAAGCGCGAACGCACCCCGCACCGTGCCACGCACCGTACCACCAAGCGCGAAAGCGTCCCGCACCGCACCGACGCCGCGCCACGCAACCGAGCGAGCGTCCCGCACCGCGCCACGACCGCGTCCACAAGCGCGCAACCATCCCGCACCGCGCCGCTACCTTCCCTACGAATTCCTTCCCTACCCAAAAAACCAATCATCCCCCCGATCCTTTTTTTCCGCTCCTGGGGAGAAGGATGCTAACCCCGAGATCGACCAATCCGACCGATCCGACCGAAAATACCGAGGTCGATCTCGGATATAAAAAGGCATCGCTCTCCACAGAAAATGACTCACTCTCCGTTTACTCCTGTTCCGAGATCGTCTCCGAGAGCTCGCCTCGAGGAAACGATCTTCCGAAACCGGCAGCAAGCCTGAGATTGTTGGGGCTCTCCCCAACGCGCCAAGTTCGCTTGGCCTGGCCGAAAGCCGTCTCCGTAACTCGCACGGCAAGCCGAGAGTTGCTGGGGTCTCCCCAGCGCGTCGAGTTCGCTCGACCCGACTCTGCTGTTCCGAGATTTCACCGCCGAGTACCGGGGTTCTCCCCGATACTACCTCTCCGAGTACCAGGGTACTCCCTGGTCAGCCGAGTACACTCGGCACCGCCACCTTCTTCTCCGCACACAGCCGGGGCTCTCCCCGGCTGGCCGAGTTCACTCGGCGTTCACGCAAGCAGACGAGGGACACACCCCCCGTCAGCCGAGCACTCTCGGCAGGGAACGGGCACCCGTTCTCCGATCTCAACGATCCGCCGACCTCGCGAAATATCCACCCTTGCGACAATACCCGCGACACGCGTGCACGTTTAAATCGCCGATTTAAAAGCCCGCGACTAACACGTGCGACACCGCCGCCGCCGCGCGCGCCCCGCGCCACCGAACTGCGCACCGCGATCAGTATCGCGCCGACCGCTCGAGCGATCTCTTATTTCGTATTTACGCATTATCCGCGCGCCGCCTCGCCCGTCTACGGCCACGAATATTTAACGCGACGATTCGGTGCATTCCATCGCACCACTCTTAGTTAAATAAACATCGTTATTTATTATCAATTTCGCCTCACAATTTAATCACGCCTTTCTGTCTCCAACGTCCTCGCTTCTCCTCTTGGCAACCGACTGACCGCTCTCCGCGC